ACTGATTTATTCGATTAATGCGTTATAGTAAATCGGTCTCCTAGAAACTGGATTTGTTTTCTACTGTAATGATATTTTCCTACTTTGATTTCTGTCATGAAAAATGCTTGTGTCCTCTGCTGTAAGGTATGCTATAGTTGCTGACACTCCAGGTAAAGAAACTGTAACCAAATCGAGCAAGAGTGATCTCAGCTCATACTGAACCAATTATTGGTATGGTTTGGAATCTAGTTTTCAATTTTGTCGGATTGAGATTTGGGCGGATTACAATGCATTTCTCATCGATATGTATTGTATTCCATTTCCGTTGTCAGAATATGATTGGTCAAACAATGGACCAATGAACTAATGATGGTTGACTTTGTCTTGTGGTGATTTGCCATGACGGCGGTGAGCTAGAGAAATGGAACCAAAATTGAGCTTTCTGTGCACGGCGAAACATTGTTTCACCTTCCATCAAAGATTCTTTCTTTTGCTCTCGGAGATATTTAATTTGCCTGCCTGATTAAGTAATTGGTCGAGGAATACCTTTCCAACTGTTTTCGAATTTGTTTAGTAAATATTGCTGATCATTTTCCCATTTTTCTTTATAAAGACATCATCGCGAGATTCGGTAATTTGTGTGTCCCATTTCCTCTTACTGCCTTGCAAAACTGTGTCGCTAATCTTTCAGTGCTATTTTTCGTGATTGTATCATGGTTCGGATTTGGTCCTTTCGAAATGTAATGGTGTATTTCCCTATTAATAGGTCAGATGCACCTGCACCATACTTTGTAATGCGAGGGTAATGTTGCTCTAATAGTCAAGGTCTATTTGTCTTCTTTTTTCTCCTTGACTTGTGACAATAAGTCAGTGACCTTTGTGTTGCCCCTCCCTCTCTCTCTCCCCTTTATTAGTAGTACCTGTGTATTGGAGCAGTCTCTAACTCCTGTATGCACTGCTCGAGACAAGATGTCCTATGCCCCCCCCCTCCCCCCTAGCAATGTTTCTGTTCATGACTAGTCCTTCGAGCTTTGAATTGCTTTCGGGCTATCCTTGCGTTGTCTTTATTCTTATTGTTAGTCGGCTTTTTGTGAGTTTGCTCTCAGAGTTAATGCAGCAAATGAAGGTGATCATTGTTCGCACAACGAACGTATCGATGAAATGCAGGCTTCCATTTCGGGCAAGTTCTCATCCCCACCACCTGGTCCTGGACGTTTGTTGTTAATTCTTGAAGAGCTCATTTTTGTTGATGGATGGTTTTCAATGCAAATAGTGAAAATGTCACTATCGTATAATGAGATTTGAATTTGCTTGTGGTTCCATGACCCTTTATTTCTTATTCCACGAGCCAACTTGAGTTGATGCCGATAGGAAGATAACATTAGGGTTTGCGCAAGCGTAAAGAACAGAAGTGTGTGTGATATATCTAGCCACGTGTATCTCATCATGAAATTTAGGCGAAGTAAGCGTTGAGGCAGGCCACAGTATTTAACTTCACAGAGCGTACTAAGTCGTGCTCATCAAAGGTGTTCACCTGATTTGCTAGCTTTCCTTGCCATAGAATTTCTTTAAACAGGCGGTTCATAACGCTATTGTCATTCTATTTTAGCTCATCCGTACCGGGCAATATGCGGCATCGGTAAATGTCCCCTATTTGTGGAAATTTTTTGACAGCGCTCTGGACTTTCTGTAACTTTTCTCGTTTTTCTTTCCTTTCAGAAGTCCATTTTCTATGTAATTTGGCATTGTTTAAATTCTAGAGTAAAAAATGTACTACTCTTATTAATACGTATGATCTTAACACGTAGTTTTGCGCGCAATTATCATTTATTCACGAAATTGCGCATTATTTGATCTCAACTGTCTTTCTTTGTATTTATGCTGATTATAAATCCTAAAATCTGTTTTTTATCAACATTTGTTGACGAAACATGCATTTTATTTAATCGATCTCTATTCATTTGCATTGTCTACTTATGGTAAATTTTTCTTCGTGCAGACGAATAAATCGAGTAGAGGCAAACACTAGGTAGTTTTGGTCTTTGATTTCCTTTAATTTTTTTTGTATTTTTTTTTGAATTAATTCGTCTTGCTCAAAAGTATACATACATGCCCATTTTGGTATCCTCTTACTTGTCATCTCGTTACTGTAATAGTAATTAAATAGGTCTATTTTGTAGATCTATGTTGTTGAGTTATTTAATGCTTTTTCATTTTCTTCTGGTAATGCTATCCGAAGCCAATGCACTTCAATTCCTTTAATACCTTCGGGTAGCCAATAAGCAACTTAATTTGCATTCAAATAAGTTGGGAAAAGACAATTGGTTGAGCTAAAGTATTCAAACGTTTTGCTCTTTGTTCAGATAGAACCCTTTGAAAATGCGTGCTCTCACTCTTCTCTATCGAATAATTCTGAAATGAGCTTTAACTAAACCTCAATAATCCTTTAGCGAAATCCTCTTGTACACTTGAAATTCTCTCGAAATTATGATATAATGGTGTAATGGGTTTATTGTCTATCTAAGCTTAGTCTTTAAGTGCAATCTATGTTATTCCACTTTGCATAAACTCAATTTCTGACTGGCAGAGGGATCTCTTCTCACACGACTGTACATTCAAGTTTTTTCTAAGGCAGCCTTGAAAATTTTTTTGTACTTATCAATTCGGACAGCAAACATCAACAATTAACCAGGAAATCCTGAAAGAATTGCCAACTTTTCCCTCTTTGTTCTAGTAACAATTTGAGGTTTATTCTCATTCTGTTTTTGGCTGTTTGGTCGAAGACAGATAAAATAATGTGCTGATAAACCCTGCTCTGTTGGATGGCGAGGTTTATATTTGTAAGATTAATCGTCTTAAACCTTAACCATCACCCATCCCGCGATCTTGCTAAGCTCCCATTTGAATCAAAATGTCTTGCACATTCAAAAAACCCTTATGAGCGTATTCACTAGAACCCGTTCTTAAATAACAATAGGCTATTTTAATTCCATTTGTTTAATACTTTTTATTTCTTGAAAACTGCTTATTTATTTCGGATCAAAGGCACTTCCGATATACGTAACTTAGCTCTTCTCATTTGGCTTTGCTCTGGAGTTGCTTGCCCATTATGTGATGATTTTGTTCTTCTTTCTTTTCACCCGCCAGTTTGAGTTCACCTTCAAATTTGAATTCAAACAATCGGTAAATAGTTCTTTGCTCTATTTGTGATCATAGAGAATTGTCATTCGTTAAGTTATTAGGAAATAGAGTTTTATGTGCCTCCCATTAGCGGTATCTTTATTTGTTTTATATCAATTGCCTTCCAGAAGACATTAATTTGGTGGGGACTAGTGTGCTTGCGAATGTCTATTTGGGAAAATTGGGGGCAACTAATTTTGTTCATTATTTTACTTGCCCTTATAGTATTTTCAATGTCTACTTTCCCTTGGGATAATTGCATCCTACTTATATTTATGCTCATAATTCTTTATTTGAGATCAAACTTGACTGAAATTTCTGTAAATTCGGATAAACGGTAATTAACTCACATTAAGCTTTTGCTTCTGCCAGTGAATCTGGTTTTTTCCAGCTGTATGACGAGTAAATTGTAACAATGCACAAAAATCGCTATAGTGACAAATCACCAACGCCTTTTTTCAAGTGCCTTTTACTTACATGTTTGATGCTTTATTCAAGATCAAACTCGCAAGAAGTTGCTGGAGCTTTAAAGGAGATTGAACAAAGGTAACTGCTCTAATTAAGGTATCTATCAGTATCCCAATTTCCTTGGAAAGTAAATCACAGTTTTTTGGAGTATATTACTGTGGACCAAGATAGGTTTTTTTCGACTCTAACCTGATTTTCGCTTGGCTTCTCTTGGTTAATTATTTTAGTTCAATAAAAAAATTTATTTCTCTTGAGGATTACTTGAAAAAACGATGGCTTTATTATTTTGCTTCTTAACTACACTTTTCAATTCTACATAGTCTTTTAACCTAACACTACAGCATTCTTTCACCGAGGAATTGACTCCAAGTCTTTGCTATACTTAAGCTAATAGATTCTAGGTCACTTGTATATGTTTTATTATTTCAGGTATAAAAAGTTACCGAAATTACGAAGAAGGTATAATTTCTGCAATGTGTATATAATGTCCACTTTCTCCCTCACCTCAATCTGCCCAATTTTAGTGATTTTAAAAGAAAATATGAATGCAAAAGGTGTGCAGGATCAGAAATATATTAGCTGCTTTTGCTCTAACGTAGGAGTAAAATTGTTTTCTACTGATCTAAACCTAGTGAATTAAAATTACTCACAAATTTGTTCCCCTTAACCTGCATTATTTGTGTTTCTGGTCCCTTCACTTTGCTCTACACACCACTCTTCTTTCCATCTTTAATTGGTTTATCGATTTCCCTTCTTATCGGACACTTGTCTATCGATTTTTTGCTATTCCAGGCAAGAAAAAATGCAATGGTTCGCTAACGGTAGTCAACTAAAGGGGTAAAAGCAAGCCCCCTAAGTGGCAAAGTGGAGGTGGGGTGGGGTTGGGGTCGAAAAGTTGTTGGGAACAAAGTCAATATCTTTGAAAATTTCTTGCTATATCCAATTTTTGTACTGCAAAATTTTTACTCCGTAGATATTCCACCTTCCAAAATCCAAATTTCACAATTCATTGCATATTTTACTGTGCGCATTCGTGTTCACAACTTCCAGTGCCTATCGATCACTTGGGTTTATTGTTATCCTCCAGAGTTTTTTGTTCGCAAGCAGAATAGTCCCACGTTGCACTAAGCAGCCTACGCGATCCAGGCAATAACAATAGTGAGCTCAATAGGCAGTTTTACTACTTACTGACTTCAAAGCTCCTATTTTCCTCTATTTCCTTTCATTCAGTATTGCTCCTTTGATTATTTTCAACCTTATCGTTTGAAGTCTGAAGTCTTGTCGCACAGCCTAACATATTATCTTTGCCTTTCATTTATGTCTCTTCAGGCCACAGTGTTATCAATTTAATCGTCGTCTGAGATATTTAAATGCTCTATAGACTTTCGAAGCTTAGTTTTGATCGTTATTCAATTGAAATGCTTGATGAATTCTATATTCTCGGTAATGAAGCTTGTCAGTTATATGTTCTCCATTGGCCAAATTTATCCCAAAACCGTCCTAGTTTGTTTGATATGAGGGTATGTCATATATTGCAACTGGCGAAAAATGAATTAGCTGTTTTGATTTGTAAACTTCATCGTCGCATGACATAAGCAGGTGTTTCTTTTGCGCTATTTTCTTGGCTATAATTCACAATGAAGAATTTGAGGAAAGGATGATTTCGGTTTGATGATATATTTTCATTTGTTTCGTTTTCTTGAAGTTCCTTGATTCCGTGGAGACTACAACGAAGGTATAATTATTTTTTATTTTCAATCTGTTAAAGTGGTGCTGAGTTTAATCTTTTTTTTACTTTTTGGCATTACTTTTCTTCAGATGTGGGAGAATTCCGTAAATTTAATAATAACTTTGTTTTTATTGCTATGTATCCTTCAGGCCTATTTCGTCCATGGAATTCCTTTAAATTCTGTCCATCGTTGCTACTTATTTATTTTCATCGCCATAAATTTTGTTGCTTTAAGGGACTTCTGCATCCTTTTTCAGATTATGCGTAACTTGGAACTTACCACCTTGGTAATATATTTCCCCTTAGAAAATAGAGCTCTGAAAGATGATTTTTAATGAACACTATGATTGAATACATTAGCTTTAGCAATTTTTTTTTCAATTCCTCTTCTATGTTTTGCAGTATGTATTTTCGAGCAAAAATTAACTGCTTATATCTGTCTGATCTCTGACTGTACATCTTAGGCATTCTAGACACTCACATTTTGCTATTAGAAGAATATTTTTTAGAAGGATATATTTTCTAATTAGGGATTCAAAATATTCCTCTAATATATGTCCTTAGAAATTAGCTTGTAAGTTTTTTCACCCACCGAGTGTGCTCCACTGTTTCATGATCTAGTATTTCAATATCCAAATTTTAGGATTTGCCTCATTTGTACCGAGAGCATTTATGTTAATTGTGTTAGAATTTTATTGTCAAGTTTGTTAGTCCGGATGATTGATCAACCACTTCAGATGACTTTTTCCCCTTAGCAGTCAAGATTAATAAAGTACAAAATTTCGAAGCTATGAGCCAAATGTTTTTATCAGAACTCTACTACAGCTCTACGATTGGATTTGTTACTGGGTTTATTTCATAAACCGAAACTAAATAGGACCAGTAGTTTTAACTTAATGCATAACTAAAATGCACATTTTTTACTTATAATTTATCAGTAATATAGGCTGCGCAAGTTATAGTTGCTAGCTTTATATGCCTTTTAGACTTTCATTTATTCCTTCGTGAGCCCCTTCACTTAGTAAATTATTTTTTTTGATAAAGGGCTCTTAATATTTATATTTCGAGACCTTATTTAAAAGAGTAAAGGAAATGAGTTGCCTATATTTTATTTCGTCTTTATTTTTAATTGTTTTGTAATAGCGACTCGAAAAGAGCTGAAGTATCTGAAAGGTAATTGGTTATTTATGGTAATTACGGCAGTATGCATTATATTATTCCACAGGTAGAGTGGGTAGTCTTATGCAGGAGGTTTGGGTTCCTTGTTTCTCGCCTTATTAGGTGCGACGAATATGCATTGCTCCTCGTACAGAGTCACTTTTGAAAGGTGATAGGATTTGAATCCGATGTCGATAGTGAGGATGACCTAATCTATGGCGCTTCTAACGCCAATGACCCTTATGAGAATCAAGCACTGTGAGTTCCTCCTTTAAGCGATTGACGTAGCAATAGCTTGAAATGATGAAATCGGAAATAATTCATGCGGGATCACAATCTTTTATCCATTACAAATATATGAGCACACTTACTAACATTAGAATGCAGTCTCTCTTAAACATAGAAGGATTTTGTGGCATTCTCGTGGTTTTAAACAAAATTTTGTTGAGTTTATGTTGCACCAGGCTCTCATAGTAGGCACTTTGGTAGTACACTCTTGCTTTTCAAATGCTCTTTTCTTTTTATTTGCATTCAACCTACTAATGAATCCGTTTCATTTGCCTCTTAGTCCTTCTTCAACTTTCAAACCCTCTATGCAGTAACTTGTCTCTGTATAATTTACATAAGTTACCATTTATGGCGCATTTTTCATTTTGCTTGATTTTATTCTAGGCATTTCCATGCTACAGATCATGACATTGCAATTATTCGTGATTTGGCCGAACCATGTGAATTGTATCTACGTGCTCATAGCCTTCCTGATCTTCGTCTTGGTAAATGGCATTGCTTTAAGGTCTTTTTTAAGATATTAATTTCTAATCTCCGTTTTTTTGCTTCATTGAATAGATCTCCCTGGATCCTCTGTTGCTCGACAGCATACTAACGATGATAGCTCATACTCACAGATGGTTTACAAATACTCAGTGATTTGTAACTTGCTTCAGCTTCCATTCTCCTTTAGGCACTCCCAGTAAGTCCCTTTTCTCCATTCCTCTTTACTGATGAAATGTGCTGTAAGTCTAATGCGTAAATGCAACATTTTCCCCCAAATAGTTGTCATTTCCCGAAAAGCATGCATTTCTATCTCCCTACAACCTGGCAGTGTACTGACATAGACGATCTTAAAATGGCTATCTTCGGTAAGTTCCCTTTGATGCATGCTCTTTGTGCGTTCTAATGCAGGTAACTGCGTTAATCGAAGGTCTATTATGAGTAAAGACCTATTCTAGTACCGTTTAGCCAACAATGCCCCAATGTTATTAGCTTTAGTAGTATGAAGAATTGATTGACAATGGGAACTCTTTGTTCATTAGGGAGATTACGCACGGTTCTTTGGATGTTGTGTTTGCAATTTTTCACGAATTGTAAACTTGAATGTATGCCTATTTTTGCTTTTTTTTATTATCAGGCAATCCGAACGGTCATTTCTTTTAGTAGTGATGAGTGTATAAATATGGGCCAACTGAATACCGCAACAGTCTCATAAATGAACTATTTTGCTTGCTTTAATACAAAACCTTGAGCGATTGAACAAGTGGGTTAGTCTTTAATCTCGACTTTATGTTTTCATTGCCTGCCTTCTAATTACGGTACTTGAAACTCTACTGGTTTGCTTGAGGGTAAACAGTCTTAGATGTTATTATTTGTGGTTTTGTATGTTCTCCTCGCACTGAGATGTTGAAACATTTTAATTTGTTCCAATTTTTCACCTTAAATTCAATGGTTGAAGGTGGTGTTTATATAATATTGATTCTGATTATGCACTTGAATGAAAGTCCACCTTTGTTTAAAGTTCTTTTGGAATATGCACTTTGGTTAAAGAAGCGAATGGTTTATAGGTATTCCATTTTTGTAGAGTTAGGTATTAGAATTTTAAGATTAGCTGAGATATTTGAAAGCCATATTTAGGGCCCTATATTGATTTAAGCATTTTTTAAATGAAAGCGATATTTCACATGCGTATGTACTTTCGTAATTAGATATCCTTAGAAGAGCGGACTGGACATCTTCGGAGAAGCTTAATGAAGGTTACAGGTTTAATCCCTAGTGCACTGCTTTCTAATCTATTGCATAGGAGTGTAATCTTTGCTTTAACCTTTTACGCCTACCTTTATAGTCAACAGATATGTCATAATGTAATTAACAAAATCAGCTTCCATTTGACAGTGTATACGCTTCTCAGTGGGTCGGGGCAATTGTGGAAAAGGTGTTATCTGGCAACGTCACATTAACCGCTAATATTGCGTCAAACTCCATGTTATTACGTCAGTAGAGATTTGGTGTTTCATAAACCATTACCCTTTCCTTTATTTTAGTAGAAGTACATATCTAAGCCGTTATATATATATACTCTCATCACTGCATTCTAATTTTGTTCAGTGAATTTCATTGTACTCAAGGTTTGGAAAGCTTTTGTGTGCCTAATTTATTTACTGATCTCCCCTCTTCCGGTCTCCTTTCCCTTTAAGTAAATGCATTTTTGCGGCAATAGCTCTCTCTCTCCTTTCCTACTCGGTGATTCCTTTTGATACTGCTCTCCCCTCCCCTCCCTTAACTCAAATTGTAATGCCAAAGTGCCCTCTTCAAGGCACATTTACCCACAGTTTCATTCCGCTGGGAGCATTAGAATTATTTGCAGGCATTTTTGCCTTGAAATTTCGAATTATAACCGTTAATTGGGTTACCTCTGAGTGTTAGATAATGCAATTCTTAGAGAGTCTCTTCATTGCAATGTTTTCCCCATACATCTTTAAAATCTCCAGAAATTTATGGTTAAGGCGTCTATAGATTGAATTTAGTAATTCTGTTAAATGAGGCGGGTCATTTCCCTAAGGACTTTCGGGATATGCCAGCTTTTGTAAGGCAGAAGGCTACCATTTTGGCTGCTTCGCGGAGCCTCAGAACTGCCGTAGAGGTTTAGGGGAGAAAAATTTGGTGATAGAAGAGGAGGGGTCAAGCTCCAGCGCTGAGCGTTTGAAACTCGTATTGCCGTAAAGACGCCGAATTTCTTCGCATTCTAACAAGTCAGCTTAATCGATTCAAATGTTGCGCATGTTACTGATCTTGTAATTGAATGTTTGTTTTAGAGTCATTGTTTCAATCAGCTTATCTGATTTCTCTAATATTCTGTTTCAAGTTCTAGTATTAATCATTTTCCTTCTTGGGAAAGCCACTATGCTGTCTGTTAAAAGCATCGCTATGAATGTTTTGGTTATGTCTATTTGATAGGCACATTTGTGCTATTATGTGGGAGTTTAATTATAGTGGTTTAGCAGAACATTTATGTTACCTGTCATGGTGAGAGTGGGATAAAATAATAAGACCGGGAGCTAGTAATTACTGGATTAAAAGGGTTTATTTTATAAATTTTACATGTTGGTGTTAATATTAATTCCGCTTTCTTGTCAAATAGTGTGTTTTTGAGAGATTGATGATTTTTATACTTGTTTCTTTATTTGTCCTTGCCTCCTCAGTTTCAGAATCCATGCTGTTGTCATCACCCCCTTAATGATTGGAGTCCGTAATTTGTAAAATTGTGTAAACTCCATCTTTTACTCATAAATATCGAATAGTTTAAGATCAGGAGAAGCTGCATCTCAAAAATTTGACTTTATGCCTGTATATTAATAAATCAGGATGAAAACCAAGGATGACTGACTGGGAATGAGAGATTCAACCAATTTGTCATTTTTTTGCATAGAGCAAGGTGTTTATGTGAGGACATTCTGAGAGGAATGGTATCCCAAGTTAAACTACTTTTGGCTTGGGCTAACATATAAAAGGGGGGAGGGTTAGGATAGGCTACTATGTGCGTTAAAGGGGTCATTATGATACGTGAACATACAGTTGCTTTGTTGAATGTGGAGAATTGTTGTTGGAGGGGGGGGGGGGGGAGCAATGCACTTTCGATTAGAATAGGGGGTCTGGGGGACTCAAAGTTTGTAAAGTGGTGACTTCTCGGCAGGGCTGTTTCCTATGTCTTCGATGACACAGCTGCTGGCTTTATGTGTTTCCTCCTGTCACTTTCTAAATCTATTGTAACGTCAATTTAAATATCTTTTTTTTATAATTATTTAGATTCTCTAAATTCGCACAACTATTTCGATCACTTTACCAATTTCAATGGTGATCGGATCTTGTGCTTCTCCTACATTCCTCCTGAATTAATCGGGCATGATCTCAGTAGTATGGATCTGGAGAAGTACTGGAGACAGCGCTACCGTTTCTTCAGGCTCTTCGATGAGGGTATTCACATCGATCGCGGTAAATACTACAATTTTAAGGATTCTGAGTTGTAGATGTGCTTAGCGTGCGTGTATTGGTCGCCTCTTTTAATTAGGCTAATGTACCACAGATATTGTTACCTTATTTCTCTTTTTATGACTAAATTAACGATAGCTACTTACTGATGTGTATGATTTATTAATTTGATACATTTCTATTCAGGGCCTTAGTAATCTGATACAGTGCTGGCTATTTAAGGACTTTTGAATTAGAGGTTTGAAGCGGCATTGTAGGGGAAAGAACTTGGGTCTCGAAAAATTGCTATGCATACGCTTCTGAGATATCCTTGTCTAGATTATGACCAATGTGTAGATAGGCTGTGCTAAATAGGTTGAGTTCGTGGAATTGAAATATGTTTATCTGTCTGCGTTGGTAATGGATAAACTAGCTACTGTTTATATACTATAAGCACCTAGTTTGGCTTTTTTGTCCCTAAATGATAATAATCTGGACGTTCAATAGAACCTAAGCACGGGCATGAAAGATTCTGGATTTTTGGTCAAGTCTTGTATCATCTCTCGTCACCCTATAAGTCCACATGGAAGGATGAAATGCCAAACTTGTGAATCGTTCATTCAACTCAAGTAAGCAAATTGACTTAGTTATCTTCCAGTTAATAGGTCTCCTTCTTCAGTTACTTACTGGAGGGAATTATTCTTATTTAATCAGTTGCCTGCGAGCAAGCAGTTTGTTAAACCTCATTTGTAACGAAATCTCAATGATCACACTTCAGTCTACTCAAACTAATCTGTGGAATGAATATTAAATGAGAAACGAATTATATATGAGTAAGCGAGGTCGTAACTTCTGTAATCAATCGTCACCTAGACTATATATCAGATATCAACGGATGCTTGCCCTTTATTACCCCTTTGAGGAGTAGTAACTATCAGAATATATTTGGTGATTCTGTGTGATAGATGAGTCCCATATAAGTCTAATCTTCATATTTCTCAATAGGAAATTTTGCTCTAATAGTGAATTACCATTTGAAAGGATTGTAGCTTATTAACCGTTTACCTTCAGCCTTGGTAATGAACGTGATTGTTACTGCATCTGAAAAATCTTCTCCAATATCCTATTGTAGGCCAATTGAAGCCAACCTGAATGCATCTAGTGTACTGTCATCCGTTAAATAGAATAAAGTCCAAATGTAGACCTCCATCATTACCGTGTTATGCCTATTTAACCTAATCGCTCTCCTTTCTATTCCTTTAGAAGGCCTATTCAGTGTCACTCCTGAAGTGCTAGCAATTCATCATGCTCGGCGATTGCTTAGACTGACACCAGAAAAGAAATCCCCCGTTGCTCTTGATCTTTTCACCGGGGTAGGAGGCAGCTGTATCCAATTAGCGTTGGCCGGATTCAAAGGTAAGTTTTCCAGTGTCCTGCTTTTATAATTCAAGCACGCGTCCTCAATGAAGGCATAGGATAGCAATTTGTTATGACGAAAATTTGTTAGTTAAAACAAGTTGTCCTGATTGTCTCACTTTCAATATTTCATCGCGATTTCACTTCCCCCAACACTACTTCAGCTTTTGCCCATGGAATAGCAATCTTAGTACTCTCTCTCTCTCTCCTAGCATGACGTATCTGCCTCTCTTGCCTTGTTTGTGTTTGGGGAGCGCTAATTTAGCCTAAATTCTCTTCACTTCATTAACGACTTTTAAGACGCGGCCTTTCCTCAATCAAGCATTTAAATATAGCCATTTATTGGCGACAAGAGTGAGTTTTATTCGCTGATTGCACTCACTTCTAACTGCTGACAGTGCTGAGTCATAGAGTTGAAGCCATTTGATTTCTAATTAAAGTTACTTTTCAAGTCGCAGCCTATGCGCAGTTCACCTCGGTCTTGTTCGGAGAGGGAGGGTGAGTGATAAATCCAAATCGGTGCAGGTAAAATGAACCGGACGGTGATATAATCAAAACACACCTAAGCTTGCTTCCTACGTAATTAATGGCAAATCCAGTCCTCCCTCCCCATCTCTCTCTCTCTATTCCATACTAAGTCAGAGCAAGCGCACATGTGGTCACTAGGGATTTTTTATTTTTAGGTATTTGTTTGGGTTATCTAAATTTCGACAAAATAGAGTATGCCTCTTTTCTACAAAAGCTTATTCTAAGCCCTCGGTTGCTAGGGTGAAACGATATTTCAGTTTAAATACATATCGGTAATCAAAATGCAAACCATTTTTTCGAAAATTGCGAAATTTCTCCTAGTCTGTTATTCACAGGAATGCATTACGAGGATTCGTTTTTATTTGTCCAGCATTCTTATCAAAAGAAAATAATTTCCTGTTTTCAATAATAATTTTGCTCGAGGCCTTGGTGTTTATAAGTGAATACTACGAAATAGCTACATTAAAAGCGACTTCAATTCGATCACGATGTCTTATAAGTAAACGGGAGAAAAATAGAATTCTTCTACCGATTCTGAGCAAATTTCCGCATTCTTTACTCGAGTAAAATGTAAACTTCCACTATATGCTCCAGTGGTTAGCTATTTTTGCTCCAGATTTCTTCTCCAATTTTTTGAAATGCTCAATTTTCCATTTGACCTCATTCATGAGTGCGCAATGCCATTTATAGTTTATTTCCGTCTCTGCAAGATGTTTATACAAAACAAAACTGTCGACTGGCCTAGTGGTCACTACGTAGACTCTAAATTTTGAAAGTCAAAAGATCATTGCTCTCGAAGTAGCGGCTTCAGAATACTTTCATCCTACTCAAATTAAATCTTATGAATGCTTCTCCTAAAAGTCTTTGGAAGTTGTAATAATCATTTTAATATGCGTTCATTCCGAGAGCTGTTAGTTAGGCACCAGAAAGAGGCTTCGAAGTCACGTTGGTTAAGCATTTTCTCTTAATGGGCAGTATTAGTTCCACTTCCTATTTACTTTTTTTGCTTACCATTGACATTAAGGCATTCTAAAGCCAATCTTACATTATACTTAGTGAGATGAAGCCCTCACTCTAGATCTATCTACGAAATTTCCTATTCAACATTTCTCTCTGGTATTAACGGATTTTTCCCTTATTCTGATCAACTATCCTGATTTCACTACTTCCGACCATTTTTATCTCTTTTTTTTCATTATGGTGTGCAAACATGTTCCATTAGTGAGTAGATACTTTATCTTCTTTTATGACGGTGGATTTTATTGTTCACTGATCTCCTACCTTCTCCCCATCCGTTATCTAAACATAAAAAGCTGTTTATTGATGCAATGTATGAAGAATGGACACAGCGTCAATGCCAATTTACCGGGATATCACGGATGAAATTGCCACTCTCCTCAAGTTGGGGAAACAGCTAAAAGATGATCTTGATAGCCATTTGAGTGATCAAAAAATCAGGTTCATTTGCTTGTATTTTTTCGTGATCCGTCAATTATGTTTCGTCGTTAGTATCACCTAGTTACGAATAACATCTATGTGCCCAGTTGGACTGTGGTGTAGAATGTTGTCGCCAATGTCTTACGGTTCCTGATCGCCAGATATTTATTGTAGTCAGATGGCTATGGGGCCTACGACCAACAAATAGTGAATCTACTTGAAAGTTTGGGGAGGCGGGGGGGGGGGGGGGGGGGGAGGGATTTATATTTACGACTTCTCATTTTCAGACCAGTTTCCATTCGTCTAACCCACAACTCTGACTTCTAATGGCAAAGGCTGTTGTCCTTGGCAGCTGCTAGGAAGGTATTTGACATTGCAAAGGGAATTACCACTGTTTTATTTCCTGCGCATCTCTTGCATAGTTAACTTTTGTCAAGCATCTAATCTTAATAATTCGGCTCAGAGTTCATTGATTTTTTTGCCCGAATTTTTGTCGAATTGCCTGTTTGTAGGCTTAGTTTAGGGTTTTAAGCTCATTTTAGAATGTTGTCATCATTGTCATTCCTTATATTAACGCAAATTGTTTTTACAAATGTGCATCTTGTGGGAGCATCCACTTACGGAGAGGAGAGGTGGAAGAAATCAGGGAGAGGTACTGAGGAAGGCCTCTATAGCTCTATGTTTTGCTATTTTTTTCTTGTTTTTATAAGAAGTAGAATAAAGTAGAATTCTTAAACTTAACTTTTTGGATGTGGATGATTCCCACGTCTTGAAAGGATCGGGGTTGGAACCGACCATACTTGACTGAATAATAGTTCATCATACAGGGGTGTGTATTCACTGAGTGATCTAATCTCGAATCTTGAAATCGTTTCTTGAAATGTAGTAAAATGCTGCTGCCATTGCTATTATTGACAGTAATTTTAGCACACAAATTGTTTTGATTTCAGGTTATTTGAGTGAAATTAATTGAACGCTTGGTGTTTTATTGCTTTAATACTTATTATATTGTCCTGAAGCCATCCTAGATTAGTTACAAGGCCCCCCTCTGTTAATATTCTTTAGCCCACACATGCACTATCCTTATCAAGCCACGAGTTCCCATTACCCCTAGCATCTTGACAGTTAATTGGGTTTGTTATCTGTCCGTCTGTTTGTCATCATGGTTTATTTGTCCATTAGATAGTGGTTAGACTACCACTAACCCAAAATTGAAGGGCAAAAAAGAAGACAGAAAAACAGTTACTCCAAGATATTAACAAGACAACGATTATTTAAATCACTAAAAGGTCTTGATGTAGGTGTATTTGAAGAGCCAAACACAACCAGGACGATGACAGTTGTATTCTCGACTATTAATTAATTAATTAATAGATTTGGGAAAATTTTAGTGGACTAACGGTTCACTATTTTAATTTGATACATCCATTCTGTCTAATGCTTAAACTTCCTTTACCCTTGGGTTTTTCTAGTGGTAACGGTGGATTTTAGCAAACAAATGATAGAAATGGCAAGAAAGAACGCAGAAGTTTATGGAGTCGCTGACAAAATTGAGTTCATTTGTTCCGATGCCTTCAAATTCCTCCGTGAAAACAAGGATCGATATGATGCCATTCTCGCTTCACCACCTTGGGGTGGTCCAGAGTACTCTCAGCACACCTTCTCTCTCGCTAATGCTAAAATATCTGGTCAGTTGAACATCTTCCACCTAGTAGAGGCTATCGCTTCGAAAATTCGCTCGGGAGGGCCTGTGGCTCTTTATTTGCCTCGAAATACCAATGCAGGTATTGTGTCTTGTCTTTTTTAATTAACTCTTTAGCACTCGTATGTTTAATATGATCGAGGGAGATTAGCTAAAATGAATTTGTCAATTACTGATGGGCTGGCCAGGGGAGGTTCACATGCGCCTGTAACTTAACTATCGATGATAGTCCATCGTAGATTGGCTAACTCGTGTTTATGCACAAAGTTGATTTGTCATTGATCGAGAATAACCTAATATTTCAATTTTTCGTCTGTTTTATATTATTCCATTTTTCTCCAGTTTGGAATCTTTGTCGTTATCGCGTTCGTGTTTGTTAATTTCTTTTTTTGTGGTTAGAGAAATTGAAGGCTCCTTCAACTGAATTTATGAAGAGTGACCTTCGTTACAGAATGTTGGAAAGCGTTCGTTTTGAACGAACTAATCTAGTTTTCACTTTATTAGGGTTAATTCTATTGGAACACTGAAAGAACACTACAGGAATAGAACTTGTTCAACCACCAATTCTTTGCTAATAATCTCCTTTTTAGATCAGTTGTGAGCAGTATAATCGATCATTCTGTTCACTGTATGTATGTATGAGCAGTAAACACATTATGTTTGACTTCATAATTCGTTTATTTCATTGCCATTTCAGCTCAACTATTTGATCTCCATCAGCGTTTCATAGCTGCCGATCCCCTAGACGTGGCTCCCTGCATGGAATGTGAAATGGATATCATCAATTTCAAGGCGAAAGCCATGACTGTCTATCTCCATTTCGGGGAGAATGAAGGTGATGTAGGTGAAGATTCCACTTTTGAACCCACTCCCATAAAAGAAGCTCCAAAAGAGGTATGGGAGAAAGAAGATATGAGCTATGTTGAAGAATCCGTAATTGATACTGCTATCTCAACAGCAGACTCGATGTGGTCGAACTTTCGGAAGTATTTTGCTTGTACAATTTCATAGATGATATTGTATTAAAGGTTTTTTATTCTCAATTGTTTTAACCGGCTTTTGATGGTGAATTTAAGTTGAGCCTCATTGGGTTCATAACTTCAAACTCTCCGCGAATAGTATTTTGGTACCGGGACATTCTTATTTAACAATATGGATTCGATGTGAAAGCCCTGCAGGATATCGATCAAGTTAATGAGTAGAGTCGTCAGTATGTGAATTTTCAAAAAGAGCATCTGAATAGCTTCAAAAAGTGGGTTAGGAAATTATTTGGTAGCTGGAAGTCAATCTCAAGAGCGGTGGAAAATGCAGATATGTGATTTACTGAACCTTAAGCTTACAATCTCTTCACTATTTGCCAAAATCGATGCAAATAAGAGATTAGACTGCTAGTAGTACACAATTAGTGCATTTAGAGAAACCAGTGGGGACGTTTTTTTAAATTTTGAAGATTATCTAGTGACTGAGCAGTAAATGAGAAAGTTCAGATCCTAAACTTTGGCCTGTTGAATACAGGAACACTGCTAAAATGTCGCACTAACTATTGTTCATTTGGAAATTGGTATCAACGTTGGAGTCTGGTCACATAGACGCAGCAATAGGCTTGTGAGCCAATAGCAGATATTGAAATGAGAATGTTTAGAAATTGATCTTGAGGAGAGGAAAGTTATCGTATTCACTCAGATGTCTTTGTATCATGTTGGCATAAATAAGTCAGTTCATAAAAGCAACCACTTTAAAAGCTGGCGTTCCTTTTTGCATCGGTGAAGGAGGATTTGAACCTACGTTTACACAGACACCCTGCTTACTGATGGCCTATCAAGGTTACTGATTTGATCATTACAAATATAAATAATTCACACAAGATCGAGTGATAGTCTTGAGTGAAAAATTGAAATCTCGACAGTGGATTAACGTTTCCCAGTATTGCAGGTGGAGCATAATTACAGATATCTGTTGCCAACCCTACTCCAGGAGTAATTACACCGTGAGGGCAGCGAACGTTTATTTATATTAAACGACAGGAGCTTTGGTGGTTAGCATTAGCCTTTTAGCTGACTTCGGGCTTCATAGAACATCAAAGTGAAAAAAGTCGAGAGGGGGAGGAACAGAAGAGTGTTTCAAAGATGTAAAATGGACAGAGACAAAGGTAGAAAAGGTGATGGGAGTACTGTGAAAGTGGTCGAACATGACATACAGTCGGGTCATGGTAGTTTGAAGTGGGAAGCCAACTGTCGGTTAATAGACTTTTTGCCATATGAGTATACGTTGCCCAGGGTGCACCACGTGGAGGTAAGTCTAAAGCACACCCCAGGGCAACGAACGTTTTACCTTGAGAAAATGTTATGAAAATTTAGATGTCATGAAGCCAGCAATATATACTGAAAGAATTTGTTTGGCTATATTAAAAACTAGAGCGATATGAAGAAGACTGTCAATTTGCGGATTAAACTTTATGGAAATATTCAACGATTTAGCTCAAATCTAGACGGAAAGTATTTGCTGAGATTTGAAATTCACAAAACCTGAGATTTATGTCTCTTCAATGATACCCGAGGCTGTTGGTGTTCTTGACTACTTAAGTTGTTATTTTTTAATGACTAAGAAGGGATGGGTTTATTTTTTTTGCGGAGAAATCAAACACGGCTTATGTTAAGTGATAGCCGCTTTTAGGTGAATTTCAAAGGCTTAATAAGAAGCGTAAAGTGGATAAAACTATTGAATGAAAATTCTTAACATGATATCTTTTCTTGAAAAGTAGTTGTCATGATCTAAAACGCGCCAAGTTATTGACATGTCATTCCTTTGGAAAACAGGCTGTTGGAGAGCGGCGATGAGTATGTCACCGCAGAAATATGTTCACAGATTGCCGTAAAGACTGCATAGAGCTGTCATACAAAATCCAAGGTCATTTTTTTCAATTATTCACCTTCCGGCGATGCAAAAAACCACAGATGTAATGTAAATCAAACTTAATGTAATATTTTAAGCAAAGAGAGTTCTTGCTTATCCTAAATTAACTAATAACTAATTGAATAATGAATTTTAATTCATCTTCTCAAGCAGATAGCCTAAATACCAGATGATCTTATATCTAAATGATTTTTTTGATATAAACAGACATCTGTAATTGTCATCGAATTCTTTAAACCAACAATAATATGCGTCTAAGCGGAAACTGGAGTTTTAAGAGAAATAATAATTATCGCCAACACCTCTTCATAGAGTTTCTTCTTTATCGGTTTTAGAGAAGGCTGTATTTTCCATATATATCTTTACCATATAATAGCATTTTAGTTGGTAGAATCGTAATCATTATTATTAAAGAATCAATGCCACAATTCAAGGACTTCTTTTTAAATAGTAAATTAGTGGGTGAAGCCATGACTACCATAAGATGAGATTTAAAAATAAACTGACCTTCGGTCGATCACGCATGTGAGAATGTCTCAACGTGTAGGTGTGAACAAAGTTTGTCACCTTTTTATCTTCCCATTCCAAAATTAAGATCGTCATTCAATTACGTAATTTTAAAAATACTGAGTCTGGTTTATTTACCTTACATTTTAATGAATGAAAGTATACTCCACAATGAATATGAGCTTTTAAAATGACTGGAATGTAGGATAGCTGAGCCTAAATTTTCATGCTTAAGTAAGCGCAAATAAAGGCTTAGACTACTTTAGTTGTGTTATTTATTTACAATTAACTTAATACATTCAAGCCTCTTAGTATCTATTTTAATTTCTATATTTCTTTCATCAAGGAAACGAATTGAACAAAAACGCATACTTTTCAAATTTTGACATTGATGTGAGAAAGAGATCTGCGGTATTTCATAACTGCCTTTTGGGCATTTTGACATTTTAACCAGATGCGCTTGTAAGATTTCAGGCGAATTTTTTCACGTCATAGAACAGCCTTGAATTTGAAATAATAATAGAACCACACATGTAGACAAAAAAATATTATAGAAATGGTAACGTTGACACTCCCTTCTTTGCACCTTTTTACCTGATCAATGGAGCGTAACGTAACAAGATTCTGAAGTCGAAGCTATAACCCGTGACTTTAAGCACAAAGTCAAAGTAATCTGCTCTGAAACAAGAGTGACAGTGAATGCCCAAGTTGTGGTCAATTGCTTCCAGGTAAGAGCCAACCTTATGGCAACAAAATATCGTTTTATTTATTCCTATTCTCCAGGCCTATATTTACCAGACGGTAAACCCACCCCACTGAGTTGTTTCAAGCTTTAATTAGTCATACGATTTACGAAAAGCAAAACTTTTTCTATTGAGTAGAACAGACAGAATACCCTGCATCACAGCATAAAAGAATATTTTATTTTATTGTAATAGTATATTCCTGCGGAATGATGAACTCCGACTATATTTTATTTTAGCTAAAACAACATGTGCTTTCGAATTAATTAGAAGAGTTCTATGGACGCATACTTTGGAAATTTTATCTAAGTCTTCAGAAAAAAGCATAAATTAATTTGACCCAGTTCCAAAAGGTTTAGTCATAGGTAAAAGGAGATTGATAAAATATTATATTGTTTAGTTATTGTTACAATGAAAAGTAGAAGTTAGGATTGCATTAATACCTCAATTTCGTTTTGGAGGAATTTAACTATAACTAGGGTGTGCGATAGACTTACCTCCACGTAGTGCACCCTGGGCAACGTATTCTCATATGACAAAAAGTCTTTTAACCAGCAGCTGACTTCAAACTATCATCACCCCACTGTATGTCATTTTCGACCACTTACACCGTACTCATCTTACCTTTTCTCTGCCTTTTTGTCGGTCTATCTCTGTTACATACGTGAATCATTATTCTGTCCCCTTCCCTCTCGACTTTTTGTCAGTTTGATGTGCCTCCTCCTCTCTGTGAAGCCCAAAGTCAACTAAATGGCCAATGATAACTATCAAAACGCCTGCCATTTG